TTATCGATTATCGTAAGCTAGCACGTACTGCGCGGTAGGTTCTAAGATTCGTGCGTTCACCCATACGGACGGATGGATGTACAGGTGGACAGACACACGTACAATGCTAGATCGACTTGGCTTGTGATGCTGAAAAAGAATGTGGAATATTTCGCCATCTCTTATCGGGACGCAAGGACTTAATGATTTCTGCAGCCATGTGGGTTATTGCAACCCAATTTTTTTTGCGAGCTAAGTAGGATATGTATTAAGTCAGTGACTGTAAAAGGTCTCCCACTACTTTGGCTTAGCTCTGCCCGTTCAGCAGGACGGTCCTGCCATCTAATGCACATTGCATTGGCCAAACTCAAACAGAGGGCGAGCAGCAGAGAGTTTCGCTTTAAATTGACTGTCTTTTTTTTTAATTTAGTATAGGCGAAAAACTGTCGGAGAGGTGGATACTTGCCACGCTGTTCCAAGAAGCACCCGATGCTTGTTTGAGTAGCATTCGAAGTTGGCAAAGTTGTCTCTGTTGCGTCTCAAACCGGAAAAGCTGGTTACTTCGAGTATATGAGATATGCAAAGACCATCATCAAACTTTTTTAATTTAGGGAAATTGTTTAACAATTTTCACTACAAATTTTATGTAAACTGGCTTGATGAGGTTTTTCTTGGAACTTGGGCAGCACATTAATAAATGTAACGCACAATTAGTTTGCATTTCTAACAGACCAAAGCGCGTCTAAGGATCAGCAGAGAAATGTAACCATGGTTTTCAGATACTTAATACAGATTACAGTTGATTTTTTTTTTTAATTAGCACTCTACTCAATATAAATTCAAAGGTCAGAAGCGGCCGTCCGTTTGTCTGTCCGTATGTATGAACGCAAGGATCTCAGAACCTATAAGAGCTTGAGACTTGAAATATTAGATGTAGGCGCTGCTGGTGCCTGCGCAGATCGTTTGTTTCAGATAATCGATAACATACCCCGTTTCCAAGCAATCGATAAAAATCGATATCGATATCGTGTTTTTTGGGCAATTTTGGTAAATAATAAGAGCTAGAGTCACCAAACTTGACATATAGCTTCTTAAATAGAAAATATATAATAAAATAAATATAATATAATAAATATTGGAAGAAGAGGGTTCAGGATATCCCCTAGTCGGAAGCTCCCGACTAGAACCTCTTACTTGTTTTTTTTCAAACAGTTTTTAATATACATTAATATATAAATCTGACAAGTCGACATTTTCTCTCTAAAAATTTATCAAACGGATAAAAGAAAATATAATCGAAAGGCTGTTTTCGTTACTTTGAATTTATATCAGAAATTGGCTCGCATTGCATTTGATTTGATTGAATACACGCTGCGCGCACTTTTGTGCAGCATAATTTACGCAACTTTCAATTCTTATTTGAATGACATACATTAGTTATCCCCACGAAGAGGCGGGTGTGCTTATGTATGTTCGAGATATGTGTGCACTCAATTTGCGAGGTGAGCGGGCCATTGTGCGGACAGGTGTGCGCTGCGTATTCACATAATGCGATGCAATTCCATTCCAATTTCGAATTCTGTTCATCAACATATCAAATCAAAATTCGTTTGTCCGCGTAAAATTTTTTTTGAACCTCATCCTTTGTGCGTATCTGTATGTCAATTGCAGAACATTGCGCAGCTTGAGGAAGAAATCTTCGAAAAACGCCATTGAGGCGTGGAATAGGCTGTATATGAGGATAAGGGCGACCTCGTCAGATGTTGTTCTAACCCTCTTCTTTCAATTGAAATCAAATAAAAAGCACATTTATTGTACTTCCATGCGTAAAGTGCGGCAGTCTGTGTATCTCACACCTGGTTAGAGAAACATGGCACAACAATATCCATTCCAATCAAAGCGATTTTGTGTAAGATGTTATGTGTGAATCTGTCGTATTAACTGGCTGTCTGTAAGTTTGTATATATGCTACAATAATAAAAGCCAGCTATATTAAATTTCACAAATAATTTTCAAGTGTGGTAGTTGTAAGTTATCTTTGATAAATTTTTATTGTTTTAAAAATTTGATAAGTAAATAATTTAAGCTATTCTATCTTATTGAAAACGTATATTTTCTCTTTACCCCTATGAATATATGATTTCTGCAAATTTCAGTTGAGCTGGATTAGAATTTAATAAAATTTGAATTTCTGTCTTGTTGTTGGCACAAGGAGTGTGAAAAAATGCAATTTAATAACATTTGAGCACATTTGATGTGACGCAACGGCTTTAATTTTTAATATTCATAATGCTTTTTTAGTCGACATTTTTTAGCTCAAGTTTGACATCCCACAATTCAATGAAAGGCATGTCGACGGTATAAAAAATAAATACATGTATATAATTAACAAAAGCATTATTTGACGATGTTACTACCTATTACATAATATTTATGCGTGGTGGGCAACTGGACAAATTTGTGTTTGTCTTGCTGCCAAGGTCATTCAGCGAATAATCATAAATAACACATTAATGTGCCCCGCTATTACTCATGTCCTCTCACACACTCCATATCATCATCTCTGTGTTGCAGATATTACACTGGATCCGAAAAACATGAATACACGTGTATACCAATTGGCGGCAATAACACAGTCAGCGTATTTGCACCGACGACCCTGGGAACTGCCTCCATGGATGACTACCATCGACCACCGGCACATATACTTATGTCCATAGCACCAGCAGCAGAAAGCAACAAAAAGAACGGCAGCAGCGCGAGCATATGCAAATCAAGGGAATGGGCGACAGCATGCAGATAGGGCAATAGGGCTGTTGCTGGTGCGGCTGTTGGCGTAAACAACCGCAAAAACAGCGTTGTCATCTCGGCGTGGGAGTTGACAACGGCGTCTCTGTAGTTGTAACTATATTAGCAACAATTCCAGCCTATTGACTATAACCAAAAATGCATAAGCTTTTCTTCACATTAGAGAATAGTTTTTTAAAATGTATTTTTCAAATTCTAGACCCCTAAGAAACTGTTTTCCATATTCATTTCCCGGTAGGGCTCGAACTCGAACAGACCGCAACACTTGCTATGCCTCTACTCAACAGCCAAGCCAATAATTGAGCATGATTTAGAAAAAAACTCGCATGAAAGTGTATGAATTTTGAATTTTATGGTTAAAAAAAAGTTTAGAAAATGTTGTGAAATTTGGCAAAAGCAAATTAAAACCACGTTTTGCTTTCGTCTCTTTAATTATTTTATAAAGCATAAAACTCGGAGATAACTTAAGTTTTCCTCAACAGATTTTTCAATTCGCTCACAGCTCGGACGCTTCGGCAACATAAATCTACATGATTGAGCTCATAAATATTTCATGGCTGCGCTTCCCTGCTGGTTCCCTGGTTTGTAGTTGTTGTTTTAGCTGCTGCTGCTTCCAAGTAGAATGTGTCCAGTTGGGCGTACAGACTTCCATTTCCTTGGCATTTCGCTGCAATTACTTTTACGCTGTATATTCCTTTTCCTTGTGTTTCCCGTTGCTCGTTCGAAGTGTTGTTTATTGATAACATCATAAGCTAGGTACGATTTCTGTCGTGGATAACGTTAATCTGGCTCTAAACACTTGAATGCTAGTTTCAACATTCGCTTGCTATCACTACTTTTTAAAACGTATAAGAGGTCATAATTCGATTGTAATCAACCAATTAGATTATTTGGGAAACATTAAATGAGTTCCAATCAATCCCAACAATTAAAGGAGAGCTGTGATGCAAAGAGGATTAAAATAGTCACATCACCAGAAGGTGAATCGATAGTCGTCCCTTAAGAGACTTACACTTAGCGGAGCTAACAAAGGTAGCATATACTTAGCATAAGATTTAAAAACTGGTCGAAAAGCTAGAAGATGGCACGCGAAGTTCTATCCATCGGTCCGTGCGAAACTCCTAAAAGAACATCACTGTGCTCGACAAATGTTAAATAAATAAATATCGTTGATATGCTACATATCTATCTGCTAGGGTATTAAAGCTTATGTGCTTGAATACTCGATAGTTAATTCAAAAATATCTGTTATTTATTTATATCCAGTTCGTACATTTATAATGAATAACAGCTGCTGACACATTTGCGTTCATGTTGAGCATACGCCTCGTTGTCCGTACATTTGGCATGCTACACGAAGTGTATTTGTTCGTTCCCTTATAATGTCAGTGTCTATAACCAGATGGTCAATGTCCGCTTTGCCAGCTCTGCAGCTCAGCTTGTCGTTTATTCCATCAATTATCATTAATTTCTAAATGCTCCTGCCCTGTCCTGTCCTCCTTCACCAAGACTGTCGCACCTTTTGCACGAGCGCACCTTTGAGGCACGTACGCTGTAGAAAAATAATTCAAGCTACATTAATTGTTGCTGTTTGTGCGAATTATTCGCTTATTTGCACAAGCTCTTCAATACCGGCACAGTACAGTCTCAAATTTGTTGGTAGTTTGCGAGTCGTCGCTAGTTGAATTCATTTATTAAATTTACATTTGCATTTTCTTCATTTTCTGTTACCGATTATGGTAATGGCTTTGTATGATGTCAGTATTAATATTAACAATTATACAACATGCTCAGAATTGTGACTGACAAAAGATAACTTAAAAGACGTTTCAAAATGGAAAAAAAAAATTGTTTTTCAAACTGGTGGGATTTTAGAATAAAAACATTTGTGGGGAAGTCGGAAAAAGGTAAAATAATATAGGTTCTAACTTTAAATATAACTAAATTTTAACGGGCATTGGAACGACTAACAAATTAGGTTTCGCTAATGTTATGAATTAATAGTATAATGGATGACTAACAAGGTGTACGAACTTAACCTGAAAGCAGCAAACTGGTGCGAATCATAAACCAATTAATTATCATCGAATTAATAGGGTATACTCTATTCTATTCATCATCAGAGGGCATTTAGATGAGTGCAGCTCTTTCATAGATTACGATGGCAATCATTAATATATCATTAATATAGTAAGTCATGAGATCAGGCTGGATCAAATAAAAATAATTGGTTCGAGGAAAAACACCCACAAAGCGCAGCTAACAAATCATTCGCCAAAAATCATAAAGTGCACGAATAGTTTGTGAGTATAAAACAGAATGGCAACACTGAAAAGCCAAGTCTAAAATGAGAGCCGAAAGGTAAAGAAATTCACAAACATCAATATTAAAATGACGTAAGAGTAGCAGTAAATTTGAATGTCTGTCCATTTTTATCTGAGTGTATATCCATTGTGGCCAACTAGCAACAGAACTATTTGCGGTTTGTTTTGAAGAAAACTTGAAAAGTTTGTTTTTTGATGCTTGCCTCTTTTTTAGTGTTGGAAAAGCAGTTGTTTCCCTCCTTTTGCTTCCCGAATGGCAAAGTATTGGCTGGAGTGCATATGAAGATGATTCTGGCGAAATTCTGGCGCAGCAATGCGAATATTGCTATAAATTAAAGTCTGTCGGCCTGTAGAATTGAAAACTGCCAGCAAGCAAATTGTTTAACGTAACTTTTCGCATAACTTTTCGCTGCTCACAAAAGCACACGGCGCTCTGTGTATCGCGCTCCTGGGGGCTAGTACACCAGATTCGTATATATTTTCCCCAGTTGGACAATTATGTGCGTGATTGTCACGCAACAAAACCTATAATTTAGTCTTTATTTTTTTATTTTACTTTCTGTGTTAAAATTTGTATTTTATTTAGAATATGCATGAAAATGCGTGAAGTTGTGTGCTTAATTGTTTGAACATTATTGCTTTTTTATTGTGGCGGATTAATGTTGTTGCTTTTTATTAACGCATAGTTGACCATTTGTGTTAATTTAAAAAACAATTAGCAATTATGTGCTTAAAGTGTGGCACTAAATTGAATTATTATTGTTAGGTTAATGCAAGCACAAAGCTCTTTTAATAACAAGATTAAATTTTTTATCTTGTTCATGCCTTAAGATTTATGTATGTTAACTACTCGGTATATTGCACATTTGATGTGTATGGGCTTAAGCAGTGAATATTAACAATGCGACTAAAACAATATAATTCACACTGCTTTATCCGTATAACATACGCGTTGAAAGGCTTTTAAATAATAAACTTAGTTAAAGTTTATTTAAAAGCATTTGTTCATATTGAACTGAAAAACTTTATAGAAATGCAAAGGCTTATAAAACAACAGGTAATTTACAAAAACAGCAATATAAAACAAAGGAAATTAAACATACATTGTTATACAAACTATTTATATTTATGTTTTTATATTATATTTTATATTATATAATATTATTTTATTATAATTATGTTTTTTATTATTATTTAGAAATTATATGCACAATTATTTCGCAACGTTATCGCGCTATCGATCGTGCGTGCTACTAGTTTATAAATCTGCTCATCATAAATTGGTCGTTAATTGAGACAGCCAACGATTGGGTTCTAAAGAACGATAGTCTATCTAAAGAAATAATTAGTAAAGCTGAATTTGTGTAGGAGTTGGAAACAGAACTAGGAGTGGTCGAACTTACAATCAGTTAAATTAAACAGGCGAGTATAATGTTGGCATTATACTCATTTGGTAATATAAAATCACTTATCATATGCAACCCTGCTATGGATATTTAATCAACGATAGATTTATCGATAAAAATACAAGAAGGAGAAGCTCAGTTGTAAGCTAGAAGAGTCAATGAAAAGATGTGTTCGCTGTTGCTCGTTGTCTTTGAAATACATGTCGGAAAATGTACAATAATCATAAGTTTACGCTTGTTCACCAATTTCTCTAAATAAAATAATATGAACATAAAGAACTCAAGTGCTTGTGAAGGCCATCGAATGGTCATCCCTACAAATTTGGTGTCAGAAGTGGGATAGACAGAAATTGTGAAATTCGTAAATTGATTAACGAGTACAAACGTATGCAAGACTATTAATCGGAGCATAAAACGAAGCGGGTGCATGAAAATTCATTAAAATTCGTATGCCCTGGAAAAAATGGAAAAAGTCAAGAATCGTCTAGGATTAATGGCGACAGCGGCGAAGTATGCCTAGAGAGCTCTAGTAAGAGCGAGACAAACAGTCGTGTATTGCGTGACAGTGGTCGATAAGCGCAAGCGAGAAGGCGATGTTTTAAATTCTGCGTAGCAAAGGCTGGATAGCGCAAAATTTTCACTTCGTGATGAAATAAGAAGTTGCAGATCAAAGAGGCGAAGAGCGAAGAGCGCGGAATCTTTCAATAAAAGAGCGTGTGACTGGAACGTGCTTCAACACGACAACGATGATCACAGGGTGTATCAAGTTACAGATCAACAACAGAGTATGTTATTTCGTCATTATATGAAAATAATTAACTAGTTGTTGAGTAAAGAGTGTTAAATCAGTAAAAAATTTTCAAAGAATCAAATTATAACAAAGAAGAAATTAAGTGTAAGCAAACACAAAGTGAAAGTATAAGTTAAGACAGACGAATATAATAATTTAATAATTTCTAAAGTTGCTGAAAAAAAAAACTAAAATTTGATTCATAAGAGTTTAATTACTTATACCATTAAGTTAAGTACATTGAATTGTTTATTTGTAAGATTCAATTTTAAGCATTGTGAAAAGCGAGCAACGACGATAACAAAATGAACAGAGACGAAATTTTGGCGTTAAGAGTTAACGAATTAAAAGAAAAGTTATCGGCACTTAGTTTGGTAACAACAGGTAGAAAGCAAACTTTGCAAGACCGACTTTTAGAATATTATGGGTTGCAGGTTGACGATAATGAATCTGAGTATGACGATGCTGGGTCGGCTCATACCCGTCAAAGCTCACCAATGCAGATAGTCCGAACAACGTTTACATTACGCGACATTGAAGATTCACTCTCGCAATTCAATGGGTCAAATCAACCAGCTGTTGAAAAATGGATTCATGAATTTGAAGATAACGCTTTGGCAGTGCAGTGGAACGACCTTCAGAAATTTATTTACTCAAAGCAATTACTAAAAGGTGCAGCAAAATTATTCGTGCGCAGTCAGCATGGAATTTCAGATTGGATATCTTTAAAGCAAGCGCTATTGGAAGAATTTGGGACGGTAGTTTCATCAATAGACGTCCACCGCATGTTGCGGAATAGGCGTAAGCGTCAAGGTGAAGATTATATAGAATATCTGTATAGCCTTATGGAAATTGGCGGACCTCTTAACCTGGATGACTCAAGCCTGATAGAATATTTTATTGAGGGAATACCTGACTCGAGGAGTAACAAAAGTAATCTGTATCAGGCCAAGACTCTGCAGCAACTAAAAGAACAAATCAAGGTATATGAGAAAATCCGTAGTAGTCGCCCTCAAGCGTCTAATACGGGTAGGATGCATAACGATACCGAAGAAAAGAAACCTGACTTGAATAAAGAACGAATTAAGAAATGTTTCAAATGCGGCGATCCATCACATCTAGCCAGAGAATGTAGACAGCCAATAAAATGTTACAAGTGTGCTCAACCAGGGCATAAGGCAGCTAACTGTTCAGGATCGCGTGCAGTGGAGAAGAAAGAAGGCCAAAATGCGAACACGATGATAAACAAGGCCAACAGTAGTGGAAAATGCATTTTTAAGGAGTTGTCTTGTAAGAACATATGCTTCTCTGCATTAATCGATACAGGCTGTGACCTCTGTCTGATACGCGATGATATCCTTAAAGAGCTAGGAAAAGTTGAACTGAATAATGAAAAACAGTGTCTTGTTGGTATCTGTAATAGTGAGCTAAATACACTGGGAAGCTTTGTCACTCAAGTCGAAGTTGATGGTATCTTACTGGATATAACCTTTCATGTTACGAGCAGAGACGACATCCAATACTCAGCTGTAATAGGAAACAGCGTATTGAAGCAAGCGGACTTAATAGTATCGGAAAATTTCGTAGAATTTCGACCCAAAGTGAAGGACAATGCAAACGAGAGAGTAATTGACAAGACATCAACAATAACAGAAGATACTGTCGAAAATAAGAAGCCAGACATAGAGCTTTTACAAGAATTCAAAGATGTATGTTTTTTTGCAGAAAATCAGGAGGCTGAGATCGATCTACATCACTTAGAAAAACCTGTTGCAGACGCAGTTCAAGCAATAATTAAAAACTATTCACCTGAAATGAAGAAGAAATGTCCAATTGAAATGAAAATTTTGTTAAATGATGAGCGTCCAGTTTTCGAACGCCCAAGGCGCATATCACATGCGGACAAGTCTATTGTCGATTCGCAAATCAAAACTTGGCTAGAAGAAAAGATCATACAGCCAAGTACATCGGAGTATGCATCTCCTGTTGTCCTCGTTCCGAAAAAAGATGGTACCAAAAGATTGTGCTGTGACTACAGGCGTCTAAACGAAAAGATCGCGAGGGACAATTTTCCAATGCCCTTAATAGACGATGTGATTGAGAGATTGCAGGGCCAAAGTGTGTTTACTACACTTGATCTCGCAAACGGATTTTTTCATGTTCCAATTGAGCCAAATTCGAGAAAATTTACATCATTTGTAACAAGTGCAGGGCAATATGAATTCCTGTTCGTCCCTTTTGGAATATCGAACTCCCCAGCTGTATTTTCCAGATTCATTCATGCAATTCTTGTAGATCTGGTACAGGATGGTACAGTCGTAACTTATATGGATGATCTTATAATTCCCTCCAAGGATATAGATGAAGGTATCCAAAAGTTAAAGCGCGTACTGGACAGAGCAGCAGAGTTTAACTTGCGTATTAAGTGGAGCAAGTGCCAGTTTCTCATGAAGGAAGTTGACTTTTTAGGGTACGTTATACAGGGAGGCACAATAAGACCATCTGCAAGAAAAACCCAGGCAGTTCAAAATTTTCCTATACCGCATGACCGAAAGAGTTTGCAGCGTTTTCTCGGATTAACATCGTACTTTAGGCGCTTTGTAGAAGACTATGCGCTGATAGCCAAACCGCTCTCCGATTTGTTACGGAAAGACGTGCAATTTAAAGTTGATGAAGAACAACTAGTCGCATTCAGGCAATTAAAATCAGCATTAGTTAGTACTCCAGTATTGCGATTATATAATCCGAAAGCCAAGACTGAAGTGCATACGGACGCCTCAATGAATGGTTATGGTGGTGTACTCTTGCAAAAAGACTCGGACGATCAATTGTTGCATCCAATTCAATATTTAAGTCGGAAAACAAAACCCTCAGAAGAGAAGTATCATTCTTATGAGCTTGAGGTGCTGGCTATAGTCGAGGCCTTGAAAAAGTGGCGCGTTTACTTACTTGGCATAAAATTTAAGATTGTGACCGACTGTAACGCTTTCGCTTTGACCATAAAAAAACGTGGAGATATTCCATTGAGAGTCTCGCGTTGGGCACTCTTCCTTCAAGATTTTGACTACAGTATTGAGCATCGAAATGGCAGCAAAATGAGGCATGTTGATGCTTTAAGCCGCGTATCCTGTCTTATGCTTGAAGACTCACTGCAGCACAGATTGCAGCAAGCACAAGCGAGAGATGATTGGGTCCGAGCGGTGCTAACTGTTTTGGATTGTAGCACATACGAAGATTTTTATGTTAGGCATGGTATTTTATACAAGGATCCCATCAAGGAACTTATAGTAGTACCATCGCTGATGGAAGACGAAATCATAAGAATTGCACACAAGCAAGGGCATTTCTCAGCAAAACGAACTCAAGAAGCAATCGAGAAGACATTCTATATTCCGCAGCTATCGTCAAAAGTGCCAAAAATTGTAAAAAGTTGCGT